TTCTTATAAGACTTGTAGCTGGTGTACGAATCGAAAGTTGATAATGTCTTTTTCTGAACCCCATTTAGTCATCTCCAACCATGCCTTGGATGCCCAGCTCTCTATGAAAGATTTATGATATTTTTTAGCTAGCTGATATGCAAATGCTCTTATCTTTTTATTTATAAAATAAAAAATTTCATATTAATAATTATCAATACTAATGCTAGTTCTGACTTATTAAATTGATATAATTAATTAAATAAAATCATAATTTTAATAATGCACAATTGAAAAAAATAATATATTTCATAATTTTAATAATGCTTATTCAAATATCAATATTAATTTGGTATTTTTTATTATTGAAACATAAAATACATTTCATATATTTCATAATTTTAATAATGCTCAATTCCAATATTAATACGCTAAATTGAAATATAATATATTTAATAATTAATGCTCAATTTAAATACAACCAATATAATTTATTTACATTTTTAGGATTTAATCCCATAAATGACCTACTGGCTTCTAATATGAATGGCACTTGCTAGATTCTTTTTCATTAGTAAATATTGGCCTAAGATATTTAGCATCACCTGAACTTTTAATATCATTTTATATCTTTTTTTCAACGTTACTTTGGATATATAAGCCACTATGCTTGTGAAAGATTTCTCGTGGCTGGAACTGACTTGCTATTAAATATTGCATGACTTATAAAAAGAAATAATAAGAAAAACCTTTGCCTTTAAAAATTAATTTGATGTTATAATTAATATATATGTATTTTAATTTTGTTAATAACTAGATCTTGCTTTTATCATCAGATTATTATAATAATTTTTTGTGTTATATGTACTGTAATTAGAAATTTTTTATTAAAGTTATTAATATATTCAGATTATATTATTAATATATTTATTACTAGATTTAAAGAAAATGATTCAATAGAATTTAGAAAAAGCATCAATATCAAAAGTGCCACATGGTACCAGATAAAAACTTTTAATATTAGATTTTCATCACATTTAAAATAATTATTGAATTTTAAATATAAGATTCTAAGCTATTAGGAGTGAACTGGCCGACTGAATTTATGTCACATCGTTATGAAACCACTATATTTTTGAAAAAAGTTACTTTGTGTTTTACAACGGACAATATGTGATTAAAAGAGCTATAATTTTAAAAATGAGAATATAAACAAAACAAACATTTTTTTTAAATAGATCACGTTTAGTTTATAGGTAATTTTTTTTTAAAGAAATTAAAACAAGTAAAAAAAAGAAATACTGAACTAGAAACTTATATCAAAAATGTATATATACAGGGTTTCCCATTCAAAAAAGGAAAAGTCCCAATCAAAAAAAGAAAAGTTTCAATCATAAAAGGAAAAGGTCCGATCAAAAAAGGAAAAGGGTCAATCATAAAAGAAAAAGGTTCAATCAAAAAAGGAAAAGGTCCGAACAAAAAAGGAAAAGTGTCAATCAAAAAAGAAAAATTCCCAAAAAGAAAGGAAAAAGTACGATCAAAAAGGGAAAAGTGTCAAAGAAAAATGGAAAAGATTCAATAAAAAAAGGAAAAGTGTCAAACAAAAAAGGTAAAGGTTCAATCAAAAAAAAATAAGTGTCAATCGAAAAAGGAAAATTCCCAAAAGGAAAGGAAAAGTGTCAATCAAAAAAGAAAAATCGTAATTCTTTTCTCAATTTATTTTTATTCTCATTTTTGATAATTCTATTCTATTTTTAAAAATAATTTATAAATTTAGGTCCATTTTTTTAACAATTCTTTAAGTTTTTTTTCATCATACATATGTCGTAATTTTTAAAGGGATCATAACTAACTATCCGGGATCTTCACGGGATTTAAAGGTACCCCTTTAAAATTTCAATTTTTTAAAGGATAAAAAACTACACGGCATTATCACATTTGAACCATGATATAGAAGAATCTTATTTTAAAAAGCGTTTTCAGCGTTTCGTTTTTTTAATTTTATTGCTATTCATTAATTTTCAATATTGTTTGTTTTGCCTTATGAAATAAAATATGTCTAATATAGGGTATCAATCGATAGCTAATCAAAAGATCTATTCAACTGGAGATCAATCTCTCCCCCATAATGGGCCGGTCTAGGTCTTGGGTGGTAAGAAATATTTTTATCAACACAAAATATCGATATGCGTATCAAATAAAAGCTAATTTTAATATGGCTTGACTGAAAGTTCTCATTCTTTGTCTGGATGTGTATGACTTGGTCTGAGAGTGGGAAGGGGGGGGGAGTGTTAAAAATATTTTTTTTTGATATGGGTATCATTTAAAAGCTAATTTTAATATCCTTTGACTGAAAGTCTTCATTCTTGGTCTGGATGGGCATGACTTGGTCTGGGGGGTGGGGGTGGAGGGTGTAAAAAATTTTTTTTTATATGGGTATCAAATAAAAGCTAATTTTAATATTGTTTGCCTGAAAGTCATTCTTGGTCTTGATGGGTATTTGGTCTGGGGGGTGGGGGTGGGTGTAAAAAATAATTTTTTTTGATATGGGTTACAAGTAAAAGCTAATTTTAATATGTTTAACTGAAATTATTCTTTTTTTGTCTTGATGGTATGACTTGGTCTGGGGGGTGGGAGTGGAGAGGAGGGGGTGTAAAAATAATTTATTTTGATATGGGTAAAAGTTAATTTTATTTGACTGAGTCTTCATTCTTGGTCTGGATGGGTATGACTTGGTCTGGTGGGTGGGGGTGGAGGGGGGGGGGTGTAAAAATAAATTTTTTTGATACAGATGAAAGCTAATTTTAATATCGTTTGACTGAAAGTCTTCATTCTTGGTCTGGATAGGTATGACTTGGTCTGGGGGGGTGGTGTAAAAAAAAATTTTTTTTGATATGTGTATCAAATAAAAGGTAATAAAAATATTTTTTTATTGTAATAATAAAAATCACTCATAGAGGGCGGGTCTAGATCTTGGGAGGTCAGGAATATTTTTATCACCACAAAATATCGATATGGGTATCAAATAAAAGCTAATTTAAATATCTTTAGATTAAAATTATTCATTTTTTGCCTTGATGGGTATGACTGTCAGGCCCTCAACATATTAACAAAATGTTTAGTTGGATAGAATTTACAGAAATAAAAGAGAATGAAGATAAAACAATTTTTTAAATCTTTTTTCAGTTCCAATCCTGAACTTAAAATATATAATTTGCAGTGTTCTATATTTAGCGAGTTATTCCATACCTAATTTTTTTAGTATCGATAGCTTTCGCGTGCTACATTTTTTTTTAAAAGAGCTCGTTACTAAATAAATAGCAAAAATTATCAGAATAATTTTATAATTAATTCTAAAATCATAATCTTTTTATTTTATTTATTTAAATATACATTTAAAAATATGCATTGTAAATATATTTTTCAAAAAAAAAATAATTTTTAAATGTCGACAGTAGATATTGATAATGAAAATAATTTTGGTACAGATAAAATAAAAAGATTATGATTTAAGAATTAATTAAAAATAATTATAATAATTTTTGCTATTTATTTAGTAACGAGCTACCGCTATCTCTCTTTTTAAAAAAATGTAGCAAGCTAAAGCTATCGATACTAAAAAAAATAGGTATGGAATAACGCGCTAAATATAGAACACTGCAAATTATATATTTCAAGTTCAGGATTGGAACCGAAAAAAGATTTAAAAAATTGTTTTATCATCATTCTCTTTTGTAAATTCTATTCAACTAGACATTTTGTTAATATGTTGAGGGACTGACAGTCATACCCTCAAGACAAAAAATGAATAACTAGATACCCATATAAAAAAATTATTTTTACATCCCCCTCCACCCCCCCCCCCAGATTAATTCATACCCATCAAAACCAAGATTAAGACTTTCACATAATTTAATGTTATTTTAATATTTTTTTATAAATGAATCTAAATCTCAGATAAATTTAAATTTTGAAAATTAAAAAGGTATTCTTCTTTTTTTATAAATACATCGCTTTATATAAATTAGATTTCCAGATCTGTATGATGATAATGTAATAGCTGCTATCGTTCATCCTAGTTTTAAGTTAAATTGGCCATACAATAATTTAACTGAATCTAAAGGGCAACTTGATAGGCTGATGGTAACGTTAAAAAATGTCATGCCTAACCACGATACTAATACTATAGCAAGATCGTAACCGCGGCCTTCCATAGATGATTTTTTTGAAATAAATAATAATATTATTGAATCTCTAGATGCTTTTTTTAAATCTAAAAATACTCATTTAAGTGTTTATTAAATTTAATACTGCGTTGCGCTCAAGTGCTGCTGAACAGTACCGAAATGTTATAATTATTATTAAAGTGCAATAATAAATATATTATATGTATATATATATATGTAACAAATTATGGTCATGTTTTTATACCAATATTTTATTTGTGGTAATAAAGTTACGTAAAATATATTTTAAAAAAAATCAAAATAGCGTAAAAAGTAGCTAATAGCGCGCTACTCATTTGAAAACGATAGCGGTAGCGCGCTATTTTTTTTATAAAATAGCGGTAGCGATAGCGCGCTACTTTAAAAAGTAGCGTTTAACAACACTGGAATTTTCCTTTTTTGATTGACATTTTTCCTTTCCTTTTGGGAATTTTCTTTTTTCGATTGACACTTTTCCTTTTTTGATTGGACCTTTTCCTTTTTTGTTTGACACTTTTCCTTTTTTGATTGAACTTTTTCCTTTTTTGTTTGGCACTTTTCCTTTTTTGATCGGACTTTTTCCTTTCTTTTGGAGAATTTTCCTTTTTTGATTGACACTTTTCCTTTTTTGTTTGGACCTTTTCCTTTTTTGATTGAAACTTTCCCTTTTTTGATCGGACCTTTTCCTTTTATGATTGAAGCTTTTCCTTTTTTGAATGGGAAACCCTGTAATATGAATCAATCTGTTATTTTATGTTCATAGTTTAGAGTATACAAAAAACATTTTTATCATAGAATTTTAAAATATAAAATCACCGTATTTGGTTATGTTCTTGAAGTCTCTAATCATAGGACTTTGAAAAATTTCCCGAATTAATATATAAATTGTAAATATAAGATCTAAAAAATGTGTATACTAAAAATAAAAATAATTTATATTAAAGATTTTATATCATATACTTTGCATTTATTGGACATATTTTCCAATTTATTAATACTGATATCATTTAAATTCAAGTCTTTAAACATATTATCCATCGAATCATCAAATATTCTCCATTCTTCATATAGAAATTTTATTAAAATGCTAATAGGATCATTGGTCATTTCTATATATTATTATATCATAATTCCTTGTAAGAATTTTACTTGAAATGTATCTATCCCATTTTGCTTCCATCATTTTATAGATGTCTCGAAGTTTAATACATTCATATCCTTTTTTAAATATATCGGTGTATAATGAGAATACACTTTTGCTCATTTCTTGGAAACCATTAAGTGCTACCTGAGTATGCTTCATTATATATTGAAATACTTGCGGGAAAATATTGGTGTTATACTTAATATAAGTGGTCTTAATTATTATAAAATATATATCAAAAGTAGAAAATGTTAAAAAACTTTGAGTCTTTCAGACACTTGTGCCAATTCATAAATTTTTTCAATATCTTTGGATATAAGTGATAATTGATCCTTACTCAGCTAAAATAAAAAATAAAAAAAATTTATTTTGATCTATACCTTAGTCTTTAAAATAGTGATTAATAATGTTGGTTGCTGTAATATTTTTACGATTGAAGTAAATAGGTCTTTAAATAAATTAAGATTGTATAAATATTTATAATCATACCTGGAAAATCAGTTGGATAATTCGTGGATAATAATTTTATATTCAACTTAAATAATTAAAATGCTGATTTATAATAATTATTTTACCAATTTTATTGAATAATTCAGTTTGATCAAATAAACGTCATTTTCCATCTTAAATTCTCTAGAAGAAAAATGATGAATATCATTGATACGGAGGAAATAATTATTATCTTTGATATATGATTTTAAATCGGCTATAGTTTTCATTAAGCTAAATTTAAATAACAACATATGAGATAATGTTTATAACTAAACTTATCTAAACAGATATCATTTTTACAAATAGTAGATAGTAAACTATGAATTTTGAATAAAAGTGTTTGTTCAAAAAATGTATCATATCCCTAAGCGAATATTTAAAAAAAATTATTTTAACATTCATTTTACTTCGAGCATTACGTTACCATATTTTTTACTTAAATTCCAAACCGCTAGTATGAATGGATCCTGAAAATATTAATAATTGATTAATATATTATTTTAAAAAACGTTTTTCACATCAGGTAATTTAGTTTCTGTTATAATTTTTAAAATCATCTAAAAATTCAATAATAAATAGAAAAATTATAAAATTACAACTTTAAAAGAATCTTTAACGTCTAACAATTTGTTGTATTTTAATCTAATCAGTTCAATAGCAGAACTATAATTCCTATAATTGTTGTAATTTGATTGATACCTATAATAAAATTATATTTTTTTAATAATATATACATTGGTATATTTGTTTTTGGAAAATAAAATATTAATAAAAGTGGAATATTCCAAAAATATAATTTAATTAAATGTTCAGAAAAAAGGAAAATGATCAAAAAATAGGATATAAAAGAATAATCGTTCCTAATTACATGAAAAATTAAAAGAAATATATGATAATATTTTAAAAAATTTGATTTACCAATACACTTTTTTAGAGGCCAATCTGAATATTAGTGTTATTAATCATAATATTTTGCTAACTCTTCATCTCGTTATAAATAATTAATATAAACTTCCTTAGTTATATATGCAAGTATTCAGTTAAGCTGTGCTATCAATCATTATAGTTCAGAATAAGAATGATTTGAAGCCACCCCATGTTCCAACCTTAAATTATTTTATCTAAAGAAAAATTTCAAATCACTGTAGGCCTTCAATTAGGCTGCAACATCTTCACGTCATGCAAGCTCTGCGATAATCTTATAGATGGCCACAGCCAAAATCTGCTTCACCGTCGTTTTATTAAAAATCTTCATCTTTGCCACCTTGCAATAAATGCAATTATTGATTGGTCTCTTTGATCAAACATTTTTTAAACTTTAGAAATCCGTGGCACCGAAAATAAAATGGATTCCTTATAATCTGGGACTAAATTTGATAGTAAATTTTCTACTAATTAAAAAGAAATACAATGCCACCTTTTTACCCGATATCGATAACAAAAATAATAAAGTGTATATTTATAATTATTTTAAAAAATGTAAAAATATATTTCATCAATTTATACATTTAATTTAAGAATCTTCTTTCTTATTTATGGTATAGAAATTTTATAGAAATTTTTTTATAAATTCATAGCATAATATTGACTAAAAATTTATAAAAGTTAATTTCATTTTTAAGTATCGACCATTGGTATAGGTTAAAATTATAAGTATGTGCCGATAGCGATAATGCAAGTATATGCTCCTGAATACAAGTAAAAAACCTTATAAAAAATAAGCTACGATAAACAAGATTATTTTCCTAACTATTTATAATATAAAAAATAATTATTTACCGTTTTATCAAATCATCAAACCAACCATCATCGATCAGTTTTTCGCAGTTTAAATCTTCTTGATATTTTGAGCAAAATGGTAATATCCGTGAAATCTTTTTATATGATTGTAAGACAGGCCAAATCTTATCATTTCTAATATCCTCGAATAAGTTATGTTTTTCAAGAAAAATTGATATTTCCTTAAAATATTCAGCTAGTTTGTTACTATTAATATTTTTAAAATAAAACAAAAATATCGATGTAATAAAATCAAATTTAGATAATTGTTAAAACTAATTAATGATAAACTGATATGGAAGTCTAAATATTAAATAATGCTACAAAAATAGTGAAAGCAAATTTTCAATAATTTAAAAAAGGTAATTCTATTCTACTTTAAATCATGTTAAAAAGCTGTAGAATTAAAATTTATGATATTAAAACACTTTAGTTTATTTAGTATTTAAACTATTTATCATATTAATATTGATCATGATACATTAAAAAGTAGTATTTAATTTTTAAAAAATGACCGCCAATAATGTTCGAGAAATCAAAATAGCTGTCATTTCAGCTCACATATTTTTACGTTGCTTTTAATGCTAATGACGGCTTAAAATATAATGATATTTCCTTCCTATTCTTTCTATTTTGCCTGATTACAGTATTAATATGATTTGTTGTAAAACATTTTAAATATTCATATAAATATGTCGATAAAATTTAAAAAAAAACCCAATAATTAAGGCAAATTAAACAATTTTAGAAGAAAGTTGTTAAAAATATATAGCCGGGGGCAGGCTTGGGTCGAAAAATTTGATTTTGCAGATCTCTAATGTAAACCTCTATATGATAAATAAATTCTGACTTTATCACATTATTCTCTATATTATATCAATTATTAGTTATAAAAATACAAATTGTGGCCGTCAATTTGAATTAGATAGTTAACAAATCTGAGCTTTTAAAATATTTTTGAAATGTAAATCATTTATAGCCGTTTTTTATAATTTTGACTTTTGCCGGAATTGTTTTCCAATATATAGAGTATCTACTTTGTAAAATATAAACCATTTTGTTTTAATCTTTTTATTTGTATATAGATAGATATTTATATAAAATAAAATTGATAGCGATTGTCTGAAATTTAGAGGGAGGTACTCTATACATGATGGTATATAATTCCGGCAAAATCAAGTATTCAAACTTAAAAAAGGCGTGCGATAAATAATTTAGGTTTCAAAAACTTATTAAAATCGCGGGCCAATGAAGATTTAAAAAGAAATCTTATTTTTATTAATCTAATATTTAAAAAAATAAATTTATATTTTTAATCCAATAATTAAAAAAAATATAACATTTTGTATTTTCAAAAAACATCTCGGGAATTTTCGCCTCTCGCATTGCGAGTTCTCTTTAAAAAAAATCTTTTATTCATTTTTTTATTCAAAATGTTGATCATTTGAAAATAAATTAAAATACATTGTAAAATATAATAAATTCCACAGTTTCATCCCATATTATATATAGTATATCCCATGGCACGAACTTTGGTATATAATTTACATAAAATCAAGTCAACCATCTTATTATAATAATTGGGGCCTAGTTAAACTTTTGTAAAAAAATTACTCATTATTTTTGAAACTAATTGAATTTTTGGAGTATAACGGCAAAAGTAACTAGTCACTTTTTTAAATATGTCAAATATATATCTAGCTGATTCATTATCTTTATATTATTTTTATTTACTGTTTATTCTGAGCCATTTATTATTTTTAACTATTAAAAAATAATGGCCTCTTCAGTGCTATTTGTATTTTCATTAAAATTTTTAAATGAAAAATTATTTTGTAAAAATGATAATAAATGAATATGTTTCACAAAATGGAAAATTACAAGAATAATATTAATAATATCGAAATAGATAACATCATTCACAAATAATATTATCTCAAAAAAAATATTAGACCAAGGGGACATAAATGAAGCACTAAAACTTAGAACCTCTGATGTTAGATTAGCTAAGGAAAATGAAGATACTTTTGAACTTTTGAAAGCAATGCTGTTAAACGGCTTGATTTTTAAAAACGGCTCACCCAATATTTTAAAAAATATTGCAAGTCTGGATATTTTGATACATAGCAGAAATGTTTGGGTATCTCTTAATGGAGGCGTGAATATTATTTTGGCTAAAATCTTAATTTGAAATTGGCTAAATCGAGCCGTTTAAGAACACCTTTCTCAGGTTTCTTGCTGTAAATTGCCCCAAGTCTACAAAGCCCTCAGCCAATCACTATTTCTACGGATAAGTTGGGACAAGATTTTTTTACGACCCTTCAATTCTATCTAGGCATCCATAATCTAGTTTCCCAAGTAATATATGATGAAACTGTTTGCGGGCCATCATCTAATATTCTTAAAAACATTAAATATTTCGAAGATAACTCCTCGCTCTTGGGTTTTCCATCAATAAATCTAAACGGAGATTTTCTTTAAAATAACAAATAATTATAAGATAATAGTAATAGTGTTCTTAGTAGGAAATAGTGCCACGCGATAAATTAACCTTATTAGTTCCAATAGTTAATACCATAATGTCAGAAGAAGCTTCTAATATAAAATTCAAAACATATTTTTGAAATGTCTGCAATTTTTTAGGGTGTACCGATATTTTTTATCGGATTCGGCCGATATTTTACCCATTTTAAAATATCGGTTATCGGCCAATATTATAAAATTCCCCGATCCGATCCGATAAAAAATGACGTCTTTAATAAAAATAAAATTTTATAAAATTTTTTTAAAACTAAAATCATTTATTTTTATAAATAAAATCTAAATCCATATTTATGTTTATTTTTTTAATAATAATAATAATTAATTAATAACATTCTGCCATATTTAAACACCTACCCGCGCATCAAAGTTTATTTTTATTCCGTAGATATCAATATATACCAAAATTTGTACATATTTATAGATTCTCCTTTTTTTAGGTAGTTTTTTTTACTGAAAAATTACGAATTTTAACTGGGCTCTTTCCGAACCAGCAAAATTTGGTGATCTAGATCTTTTTCCACTTCATCTAATATCCTTATTCTGATATACTATCTACCCCTCGATCTTATAAACTCCGCCAGTCCTATGACAGACTAAGTCAATTGTTGGAGGTCCTTCCCAGTGGCAGCCTTGGCAATCTTTTATCAGACGAACCATAGGCGTCAGGGGTGGGGAAATGGAAAATTCCCTTTCTTTAGAAATTTGCCTGTTCTTGCACATATCATTTTAAGCTAATAAAAAAATCCCTATACATCCTACCCCTTCTTTCCTACAGAAAGGTATACAATATATTAAATGATATTTTAAAATAACGGCTATATTTGAAAATATTTTATATAAAAAAAGTGAAAAACCAAAATTAATTTTATGAAAATACAACATAGCAAAATGCCTATATTAAGTAGGTTAGTGAAGGTCGGCCTGGTCCTATCGATCTTGAGGCGGGATCGATTGTTGGACCGGTCACCAGCCAAATCCTGGCTACGAGAAGAATAATTGAGAGTAGCCCTAGGTTTATAACTAGGAAGTGACATAGTGAAACTATGTAATTATACAGATTGTAACACTTGGACAATTCGTGTTTCCTTATTCCAATCAAATAAAACTTATCCTTTACTAACAGCCGAAATAAGATAGATAAAAAAAATACTTAAAACTAACAACATGTTCACTCGACTATCGTTTTATCTACAAATTGACATTTTTCTCCCCTAACTTATAAATTAACTTTTAAGCAATAAAATTAAGACATTTTCAAATAAACGGAGGAATTTCTCTATATTCATTAAAATGCTGAAATAAGCCCTCAAAAATAATTGTGGCTCCTTCTTGAGAACCTAGATAAAAAATAGTGGGCCCTGATATTTGATCTGCTTATAAATATATTTTTATCAATTGATATAATATTATGTTTTTATAATTATTTTATAAATATTATACATATTAAATAATTCATAAAGCAACTTGCAATGAAACTAGTTATAAATTATACAACGAGTTACTTCAAAAAAATATAAACTAGTTATTTTTCAAAAGTAGCATTAAAAATACTAGCAAACATGTGAAAATTCTAGGGCGCCGATATTAAATATTGAATCGGTTTAGCATTTAAAAAACCGATTCGATATTTTTAATTGGGTTTGGTTATTTTATGATTAAATATATATAAATTTTACTATTTATTTGTTGTAATGTTTAAAAAAATTGTTAAAAATTTTCACAATTTTTTGTTAAACTGCAAAAAAAGAATTTTAAAATATTTAACGAGTCATAACAGTTAGTGTTGTTAAACGACTCGATTTAGTCAATTTTTAAAAACGAAGGTAACTCTTTGGCCAAAAAATAAATTACTCAACCTTATTTATTTTCCGCACAGATGGCTGAAAGGTTTGGACTTCTATTGGCGAAATTTCGAGGCTTAGGTAATAATATTTTGGCGAAAATCTTGTTTTAGTCCTATTTAAAAATAGGTTAAATGGAGCTATTTAACAACAACACTTTACCCGAAAACATTGCAAATATTTTAAATGAGATTCAACTTTTTGGAGAATAGAAAAAATAAAATACAATTATCATTCGTAAAAGTAGTTGGATTTTAAAAAAAATATTGATATTTTTATGGCATTGATACAAAGATAGATGGTAAATAAAAATCAATATAAATATCGGATCGGGTTTTTTAATATAGGAAAATATCGGATTGGTGAAAAATTTGTGGATCGGTACAGCCCTAGAAAATTCTAAAAGTTGTTTGAAAAAAGTTTAATTTATTTATGGAATGTTTTCAGAATAATTCATGCTCATTGAAATACATTTTTGGTTCAAATATCATGTTATATTCGTTTAAAAATTAAATGATAAGACAATATTTACCCCTATGATTAACCCATTTCAAGTTTTCCCTAATGGGCTCAGATTAACAATAGCTTATAATTTAGACAATTCTAGAGTATTAAAAATATATTTAAATCAAGTATGGGCATAATTACTCAAAAAATGTAATTAATTCCAAATACAATTACTTATAAAATATTATAATTAATTATTAATTAAATATAATCGTGATTTTATAGAGTAATTATAATTAAATTACAATCCCTTTTTTAACTAAATTGTAAAAAAAATGTAGGATTTGACAAAATTTATAATAAATAATGAGAAACTTTATTGGAATATAATATATTTATAATGCACTTGTATTAAAAATTTTAAGCATTATAACAATTTGCATTTTTATGTTTGAAAATATAAAGGTTTTGATGGTTAAATTAAATATAAAATACAATATAAGACATTTGCATATATTATTATAAATATTTGATGTATTACAATCGAATTCTGTGCTACAAAATGGAATATCCTTCATAATGTCTTAAATAAGTAGTCAGCAATATTTAAAATAGTTTTCCAAAACAACTAAAAAAAAATTTATACAAAAAACTGAGTTAGCTTTGCAATAACGTTAAAAAATTGGAAAATCTTCAAATCCGATGCTTTAAAATAGGTGCATTAAGATGCAGGGAAAAGATTTTTAGTTCTAATAAAATTTCTCTCACTTCAACAACACACTCATAGGCTTTAGACTTGAGAAAATTGTCAATCAATCAACTTATTATTGACTAATGATGTGTCTAATAAGATTTTTTGATGTCATTGCTTAAAAGAAAGAGTTAATTGAATCATTTGCTTTTGATGATTCAGTAAATTTTTTAATTTTTTTATATCGTGTTAACGTAAAAGTATTTTCTCTTAAAAAAATTAAGAACATATAGTTATATAAATAAACCTTCATATATTTGAGGAAATTACTGAAGGTTTTATTATGGCCGTTCATGATGGAAGATTATTTTATCTTTTTTTGTAATTTGAACTGATTGACAATTTGGATTTATCTTCTAATGAAAAAAATCAGAATCATTTATTATTGCCAAAAATTATATAATATGAATTATTGTTAATCGTTTTAATGTAAAAAAAATATGAATAAATGATTTCAATTACAGGGTTTCCCATTCAAAAAAGGAAAAGTCCCATTCAAAAAAGGAAAAGTCCCATTCAAAAAAGGAAAAGTCCCAATCAAAAAAGGAAAAGTCCTAATCAAGAAAGGAAAAGTCCCAATCAAAAAAGGAAAAGTCCCAATCAAAAACGGAAAAGTTTCAATCATAAAAAGAAAAGGTCCGATCAAAAAAGGCTCAATCATAAAAGGAAAAGGCCCAAACAAAAAATAAAAGTGTCAATCAAAAAAGGAAAATTCCCAAAAAGAAAGGAAATATCTTTTATTTTTCTTACTATATCTTCGATTTATTTTTCTTCTCATTTTTGATAATTCTTTTGTATTTTTAAAAATAATTTATAAATTTAGGTTCATTTTTTTAACAATTCTTTACGTTTTTTTCATCATACATACAATATTCTTTTAATGATTTTTTCATTGTAATCCTTTACATACATTTCTAACTTTTTCAATCTCTTTTTTACATTTTCAATCTTTATTTTTTGAGCATTTCTCAATTTTTTTCTTCTCATTTTTGATAATTATTTATTTAAATTATATTTAATGTTTTTGGCAGACAATATAATTACAATTGTTAAATTAAATTAATCGTTGAGTTATAATGAACCTTTTTAAAATTAAATAAGTTTGATCTGTAATACCAAACGATATGTAAATTAATAAAATATAATCATTTTTAAATTCTTATTTTTAAAATTATCAAAAATGAGAAGAAAAAAAATTGAGAAATGCTCAAAAAAATATTTTAAATTTGTAATTATAATCAGATGCTTAAAAATGTCAATTATTATTACTAATGCCATTTTTAAAAAATGAAATTAATTAGTTATTAATTACAAAAAAGGAATTGTAATTATGTGAAATTACATATGTAATTAATTATTGCCCAATCTTGATTTATATAGATGTTATTTTTTTACTAATTATCATGAAAGAGTGTTTCGTATTCAATGTTAAAATGAGAATGAGAAGATTTGATTGCATCCATTAACTCTTCTTTACAATATTGGAGTTTAAGAGAATTAATATTATTACATTCACGTCCAGATATATTAACATCAATTTCAATACCCATATGATATTTTATAAAATCTTTCCAATGAAGTAGTTGAAATACTAGATAAAATTTCCATTTTTTATGTTTAGAATATGTCTTGGTACGTTTTATGTCGGTATTAATTACATGGAATTTGCTTGCAATACTATCAAATGAAGTTGGAAGGATAGATTTTCTTAAACTATCTGAATGTAAAGGAGGGTCATTTAACAACCAATCAGAATATAATTCGTGAATCTCGGGGTGTTGACGTATAATTCCCAAAGTTTCGATGGCGAATGTTTTGAAATTACCCTAAATTTATTATTTTTTTTATAAATAATATTTGATTTTTTATTTTTCATATATATTATTCATGTACCGCTATTATTTCAACTTAAATCAAAACAATTCATATGCAATGATTAAACTTTATTGAAGGATTATAATTAATAATAGAAAATTGTATGATTTTTAGCCCTTGTTACCCAAGTAGGGTACTCTTTTCATATCACTTATCTTTATTTGGTTTTAGTAGCTTAATAATTTTGACTATTTAATCACGCAAACTAATTTTTATTTTTGATAATTTTTAACCAACCATTAAAGTTTAAAATGCTGATTTCAATACGAATAAATAGGCTAAAAAATAATGTGTTATTTACATTTTAAGAAAAATTTAGAATTTTTATGATACTGGTAATAATTTTTGGCATATTAAATTACTTTTTCATAAAGCATCAAATTTAATAATAATTATTTATCATGCCAGATGGATGAAGTTTTATTTAATATAAATCAGAGATCTGTAGCGCCTACCTATTACAAGTCCAGTCCTGGTTGATTTTAAAAAACCGGCATGAATTTTTAATATATATATTAATTTTAATAATTTTCTGCATTTTATTATTTAGTTCAGTTGATATTGCCAACAGTAAATAAATATTAAAAACTATGATTTTTAAAAAAATCTAAACGGCCTGGCTCAAGTTTTGTATTCTTTTTAGGCCTGATCCGAGTTTATTTTTAAAATAAAATTATCGCCATATGGTCTGTATTATTATTATAGATTAAAGCCCTGAAAGTCGGCCAAAAGTCCTAAAATAATTAAAGTGCCGGTTGTAGAATCAATACCGTAGTGATTTTAAATGTATTGAGTTTACAAGACTATACCGGGCTTGAGTACAAAAGTAAAAAGGAAAATATTTTTTTATTATCTTTTATTAAAAAATAAATAAATAAAAAGCTAATTAGAAATTCTCTGGGAAAGAAAAATATATTAGAGATTTTTTATTTTATTTAACTTTATAATAATGTTTGCATTTTTATAAAATTTTTAATTGTATTAGGGTCAGGCTGGTTAAATGAAAAAATCGGACCATGTCGGGCAAAAAATAGTATCTGCAGGTAGAGGACTGCACGGGCTGTCCGTAGCCCGACCCGAGCCTCGAGCTCGTGTCGGGTTCGGACATGAAAAAAGTTTTATCTAGGGTTCAGGGTCGGGTTGTAAGAGCTGTCCGACCCGAAACCCGACCCGAATAATAATATTAATATCCCAAATAGTCATTGTAATTTGTAATATTAATTATAGAATCATATGATTTTTATTTATCACATTTTATCCTTAAAATGTCAATCATAATAACATGTCATGTCATTATCAATTATTATTTTATAATTTAGGATAAACTGGACGTCTCTTTATTTATATATCATAATTATTCACTTTGTGATACTTTTGATAATGATATTGATATGTTAATATAATAGATATGTTCATTATATTTTTTATATATTAATTAACTTTTATATCATTATCATCTATATTCGACATAAATATAATCGCTATAATTTTTAAATTCGCTTGTATATTAATCTTTTTATAATATTTTTTACAAATTAAATAAAATGCAACTTAATATATATCTTGAATAGATTATGGCCGTCAAATAAACTTTTATTTAAGGTGGCGATGAATAAATACACATAAAGTTTTTTTGGCTATTATAATATTCAAACTAAATTGCAAAATTTTATTCGGGCTCGGGTCGGGCTCGGACGAAAAAATTTTTTAAATTCGGGCTCGGGTTGCGAAAAAATTACTTTGCAGTCCTCTATCTGCAGGGGTCTATTATATATATAAAGATGAAAATAAATATAACTCCAATTTGATAACTAATTCAATTCGGGATTGCCAACTATCAATATCACTTGAGTGCATTTGTAATTTTTTTAGGAAAAGTAATGAAGGGTTAATTAAATATTCATTTTTTATAGAAAATTATATATACCATAGTTATAGCCAACTTATGTTTGTCAATGGACCAAAATTTAGAAGGTCAAAAGAGTAAATGTTAAAAACTGTTACTGCAAGTATATTGATAAAAATTATACCATTGATCCAATGGTAAAAGAATTTCCCAGTAAAATATTTTCGATTATTGGGGTTAATCGAAACGGAACAGTTTCTGGTATAGCTAAAAATTTCCCTCTTTCAAAACAAATATTAAAATCAATTTGTATAAGAGTTCCCTTTTGAGAATCAATCAATAAATTTCCCAAATGCCTGTCACCAAGTCCTATTATATAGCTGATAATGGAAGATAAAGATAAAGATGCTTCAAAATTTTTGATCTTTGAAAACCAATTTATCGAATCAGTCTCAGTTAATGGATTATTTTGATTAATTAGAACTAAATTTGAACTATCTTGCATGTCTAATAATTCATAATACACTTGTTTTATCAAGTCTGGAGTTAAAAGACTTTTCCTATCTTTAATTAGAGAAGTTATCGATAAGTCTTGGTCATACTTTTTCTAATATAAATGAATTAAAACATAACTATAAATTTAGAGTAATTCTAATATTAAATGAATGCATATCTATTATTATAGCCTAATTAATATTATCATCAATCTAATCTAAATTCATATTTGGGATTGTGACTAAAAACATACTTTAGCTTCGGATATCAAAACGGAATAAAACAATGCCAAAGGCTTTTGTAGTAAATATGATTTGCTTTTTATCGAATCAATTTTACTAATTGGAGATAAGATAGCTTGATCCACTGAATAAATGAAATTAAAAATATGGGAAATTTTTTTTACAATCGGTTGGATTTGTGTTATCCTTATCCTCGAAATCAGTGTAGGGTAATAAAGGAGATAGTTCTTGGAGATTTAATTCTTGCAAATTTTCAGATAAATATTGCCTTTTAGTTTCTGCAACTAAATTATATATAATATGTGTTTTAATAAGATAAAATAATACTCTTTTCCGGAATAATTCTTTTCAACCAATCTTCATATAAAGAGTAAATCGACATAACCTTTTGTCCTGTCCCCTCTATCATTTGAATAAGACCGCATCTATTAAATATGGGTATGACTTGGTATGTTTGAAGAATATTTTTCAAATCAGTCCTAAACGATTAATATATACAATATTTTTTTTATCCTAGCTAACTTAAGAGTTCCGTTTAAAATTTTGTTGCACATGATAAAATATTGGACAACTTTTTGATCCATCTTGAGATCTTCCAAACTTTTAACTAAATAATCTTGCCTAATTTATGGTTAAAGAAAAAAATGAATCGAATATAAGGGAAAAAAAATAACGTAATTATTCGTGAAAAATATACTCACTTTTTACCATCTTTTAACATAAATGTTAATTTTTTAGGCTTAGTTTTTGTGTGCAATATAATAATATTGGGTTGAACATCTATCACATGAATAATTTTTAATGAATTCTAAGAATTTTAAATTAACATGTTAATATGATATATATTTGAGCACCTCGTTATCTCTAATAAGCAAAGGTATTCCACCAAATTTTATGGCTTTACCAATAGCCAACGTTAAAGAATATGACAGAGTTTCGGCCCCTAATAAAAATTCATTTTGTTGATAATTTGATGATATCATCTCATAATAGACCTAATTTTAAAAGAATATTTCTATATTATAATAATATTACTACCCGTATTCAAATTAGTCTGAGCATATAAAAAATTTTGCTACTAATTAAATTTTTAATTAAACAAAATTCATGTTAAACTTTTTTTAAAACTTCTAGATATTATAATATATGTTCGTACGAGTTTAGTGTAATTTCGGAAGGCGCTAGTGTATAAGGGAATTCGGTTACCTTCTAAATCGCTAAAAAATATCGCTAAGAACAAAGAAAAATTGGAAATTTCACTTATATCTTTTAGAAAATTTTTTAAGTGAATTTGAAATTAATATTAATGAATGCTAGGGAATAGTGTTATTAAACGGCTCGATTTGAGCCGATTTTTAAAAACGGTTAACTCCATATTTTAGCCAGAAAAATATTGCCTATGCCTTGAGATATAGCTAATAGATGTCCAAACCTTTGTGCCATCTATGAGCAAAATATTCAGACTTGCATAATATTTTTTTGAATAATATATTGAGTTAGCCTTTTTTAAAACTCGGTTCAAATTGAGCCGTTTATCAACACTACTATTAAAAAATCGCTAAAAATGGGGGAAATAGCATCAATATTGACAAAAGTTGTTCCCCAATTCTGGGAACAATTATAATATTTCCTCCATTTGTAGTGATTTTTTGAAAAATTCAATTTAAATAGAAGTGTTTGCTTCCCTGGCATCTATTAATATTATTAATATTACTTTTAAAATTATCCAGGAGATATAAAGAGATCCCTAAATTTTAGCAATTTAGAAACAATCCTGGGAATTCGATTTTACATGCAGATATTTTTGATGGCAAATTTATTATTAAAAATAATTATATATATACCGCGTCAATCCTGAAATTATTTATTATACTACAGTAATAATAAAATCATCTTAATATTTTTTTAATTTAAGTAGAGATGTAAAGATCATCTATTATTATTTCAATTTTCTCTTTTTTAATATCGATATTCAATATTTTGATACTAATAAGATTAACTTATGCAGTTTATATAAAATATTAATTTTAATTCTAGTTATATAAAAATATTAGTTTAATTAAATTAAAATAAACAAAAATATTAAATATTTATATATGATAGAGCATTTTCTAGTTAAATCAATATTACTTCAGCAATAGTTTATTCATGAATTTCACTGGAAAAAAATGTTTAATTACTGTAATGAAATGAATTTACATATAATTAATAACTTTTTTTTGAATTGGGGTTATTTTCCTTTTTCCTCCAGGGCATGTATTACAAAATTATTTGTATTTTATTATAAAATTTCATTTAAATATAAGAAAAATCTTGATTTTTACAAACCCTAGCCCAAATAGGACATATTTTATAAGTGCATAAATTAAATTTAATGATGAGCATGGCTGTTTCCCTCTAATAAAGCCACTCATTTATAGACATGTGCGACCGCTGGCGAGCGTTTTTAACCATTCTACGCTACCATTTAAAAATTACAGGCTGCGGCTTGGTGTAAGAAAATTATATTTTCACTATTATTTTATAATATATATAATATTACATTATAATTATAAAATTTGATATTTAAATTTTATGAAAAATTATTTTATTAATTTAATAATTCCTCTCCCAATTAAAAGTCACTATAATTTGTAAAAAATATTTCAGTAAGAATATACCAGACAGAAGCGCTATAGGTAGGAGTGCATTAGAGAATGTGTATACATCTATCTATGAAAACATATGTGAAAAAAAAATGGTCTTCAATTTTGTACGATAAGATTTGACATGGACAGTTAAAAACAGGCTAAGAAGTTCTATAACTTTTACATTGCACCAGATAGATGCTAAGTTTGATGTCAAATTTTGTACTTGAATATTTATATATTACTAAGACATATGGGAAATAATATTCTGAAATAAATATTCGAAAACGTAATTTAAGTTCTAAGAAAATTATAATGATCATCGATGTAGGGTATAATGGAAGAAGAAGTGTCAGGTTAAGTAAGTATGAATACAAATCATGTTTGGAGTATGGCTTACATAATCTTAGACTTGGGTATAACTGCAACGTATGCGAATTTTATTCTTATTTTCCAAATAGTTTATGCTTGATCGCTCTGGATGATGGAAATGGAAATCCCTGTGTTGAGTAGTGTTTTGAATCTGAAAGTTGTGAAAATATTACAATATGTAATTAAAAATACAAAATAAACTACTTTAAAATTAAAAGTTCACACGTTCGTAGAATTCTCTTTCGATAATGTCGAAAGCATGAGTGAAATTAACAAAAGTTCAAAATATCATATTAAATAAGACGTGAGCTCCAGGGGCGTCGCTAGCCTTTACAATCTCATGGGGCTCAACTAAAAAAAAATTTATGGGGGGCGGCCGGGTTTTATTAATATATTATACTTTTTAAAAATTTGCTAACTCAAAATAATTATTCTGAATTTCATATTTTATCATTTATTATATTATGCATACAAAATAAACTAGCATATAAATAATTAAAACAATATAAGACATTTCTAAAAATATTATTTTTTAATACAAAATCTATTTATTACAGTATAAAATATTTTCGATTGCTGATATAAAAAAATTTTGCGTCTAAAGAATTACAAGTGATAAAACGTTAATTAATTCATACATGTGCCTCAATTGATAATGGTTTTTAAAAACTACATATTATAAAGTTAGCAACTTACATTGACAAAAGGTCAAGAAACGAATATAACACTCTGTTACCATTTTTAGACAATGTTTTATAGAATGGACTAATAAGGAAAAATTTATAGGCCTAACCAAATCAACAATTCTTGGAGCAGAGAATATAAACGACCAATCCAAATTATAAAACTATATGGTGGTTAGAGCTTCCTCTTAAATGCATGATGGAAGCTAGATAAGTAATTGAGAAAAAAATTGTTATATATTAAATTTCTAAAAGATTATCTTCCGGGAAAAAGAAAGTATATTAAACAACTACACAGTTGACCATTATTGCTTATAAAATATGCAATCATATGCTCTAAGCAGCTGTAATAATAACCTTAAATTACATAGCCACCCAAATAATAGATGCTGGTTAATTTGCAGTCATAGCCATGACACTCACTATATTAACTTATAACAGAATTTATTATGCTAGATAAATTGATAAAACAAAAACACTAAAAATCTTTAGAATAAATTATGCAAATGTATTGAAGCCTTAAGTTTACAAGGCAGGGATGCCATATTAGAAATGAAACATTAAGAAGTGATATGATATGATAAAAGAAATTAATTAAGATTTTATATATTATTGTCGCACCACCTCTAGTTGGTATATTATATCTTAAAATAGTAGTAGTTTGTAATAATATCAAAAATATACTAGTATTAAAAATTTAACTCAAAACTGTTTTTCAAATAAGAAAAAAATAGCTTTCCTAAAAACACGTAAAAAAGAGAAGAAATGTTATCTAATTTATTACATCCATTCTGGAAAAAAATAATAAGATGTTAAATTTTAAAAAATATTTCTAAATAAATAGATGGCGTTAAATATTTGATATATTTATTATCAAAAGCATTTATTAGTAAAATTTATTAAAATATTAACTGTAATATAATATATAACTGTCAAATACGTTTGTAAAAATGGTATTTAACCTAATTTTTTTATAACCAATTATATCTAATAGAGGATTATGAACTATATGTTTACTTACTTTTTATAAATAAATCTTTTATACTTATTTGGATTTGGACCTTGTAAATAATTTTAAAAAGAGGCATGTTAATTATTTAAATATCAATAATATAGATGATTAGTGATTTTGAACTCGGCTAATTACAATATTAAATTTGTTAATTTTCAATTAATATTTATTTAATTAGGGTTATATATTAATTTAATTAATAAAAGTCAATAAAGCTTCAACTGTTAATGCTAAATTAATATTTAGTGAGTGATATTAATATTCTATTTTTAACACAGAATTTGATTGGAAGCTGACATAGTGAAAATATAATTTATAAGTATTAATCTAATCTAATAATTAAAATAGTATTCATTTAAAAATAATTTAGATAGACTTATTTATTTTTAAATTATAAAATTAAATCTATATATTACTCAGTAGAATTATAAAAGAAATCATTCAGTGGGCAATCAAAAAAATTTATTTTTAGTTCAAGGGATAAGGAGCCGTTAAAAAAAAAATTTTTTCTTTAGGGGGCTATTCAAATTTTTCAGGGGGCTCGAGCTCCTGCGCCCCCCTAGAGATGCCACTGGTGAGCTCAGATTAATTCTGATTGGGATTTAATAGGAAATCTCAAATTCCTAAGATTATTAAAAAATACCGTTGATTTTTATCATCTCAAAAAGAATGAAGGATATAATTCTTTTTCTTCTTAGTAGTTCAATATAAATCATTTGATTGGTAGTGAAAATGATAATATTGACATATCTTCCTTCAAACAAAACAGGCGTAAGAAATTCGATCATAGATTTCCAATCACTAAACTTTAGGATATAAATAACTTAATTTTTCAAGTATTATATTAAATATTTATTCTAGGTGTTATGAGCACTTTCTTAATAAAATATATTATAAACAATTATCTTAAAGAAAAATGTTAGGCCAGCATTTCAACGTTGAATGAACTGGAGATTCCCCAAGAAATAGTAGACTATGAGAATGTATAGAATCAAATTATATACAAAGATTAGTGGATAAATAGTCATCCCATTATCAGATTAAATAAAATGATACATGGAATCATCTGGAACAAGATGTGATATTTATTATTTTCTCCTTCTATCAACTTTTTTAAAAAATGGGAACTAAACTTCCAGTTTTAGTCAGAAAAAAATTATATGTCTAGATATACGTGTTGTAATATTGTAATATTATTTTTTTTATTATTTTTATATTTTTTGGGATTAATTGGTTGTTATTTGCAATGATTTCAAGGATGTATTTTATTTTTATATGAAAATGAGTAAAACTAGATCATT